CCCCTATGCCGCTGGTTCTTTGCCGGCGCCTCCGTGGGCTACGACGATCGGTACGACAGGAGATAAAGACCCTGATGCCCAGAAAAGTCCACACTGGCTTCGGCCTCTGACACTTTCTCTTCTGTTCACAAACTGCAACCCATTGCCGCACCAACTGCACGTAGGGGTGGCGAATGGTCGGGCAAACACGGACACCTGAGCACAATGCAACTGGTCTGACCAACTTGACAAAAACAGTTGGTCTCTCGGTGCAGAGCTGGCCGCGATGACGAAATTTACGAATATAATGATGCTCATGAGCTACATTTGGGAAGACAGCATGGCGTTTAAGAGGTGGATATGTCTTACGCTCGGCCTAAAAAAACGAGTCGAGCTGCATGTTGGCTGGCACTTGGAGACATTCATGATGGCTTTTCTTCTCCCATGCATGCCGCGTGGCATTTCCACTCTCGACCCTCGCAGGCCAGATAGACTCAAGAGGCGCTTCCCTGACTCCTTTCCCCGCTCTGCTGCCGCAATCGACACATCTTCTTTCTACATGCTGGGAGCATTTCGCTGATATTCATTGACTGTGATAGACCAACGCCGCTACTAATCGGATGACCACCACGCATCCTGCATAAGGGGGGATCACTAGCATGGGCAAAGATCAGGCCGTGGCGGCAGGTGCGTGCGTAACTACCCGACACGCAGCCTACCAGCCAACATGGTGTTACCCCTTGCGACATGCATCGCGCATGAGCCCAGCCAAGACTGCCAGTCAGCCAGTCAGCCAGTCGAGCACGTTCCTGGAGGCTAATAGCGCGACGACATGCACAGCATGCGCATCTACGAAAACTGTGGCAAGGGCGCGGCAACATGGCATCTAGGCAGGGTCAGGACCGGGGATGACGGGTCTGTGGGGGTCTGTGGGGTCGAAACGGCAATACCGGTAAAGAACACGCCCTCCGTGCCAGTCATTGGGAGGTTTCTGGGACCAGTCGACGTCTCTCAGGACCTCCGGAGGACGCCAAGAAGCGGGTGCCAGGAGGCGTGTAACGCCTGCGGGAGACCCCTGACCTTTGCCAGAGCGGTGAGGTGGATAGAGTTAGAGCAAACAGGCATGCAGGAAGTGGGATGATGATCGATCTAGTTGGAGGCGATCGGGAACCTGCGAGGTGGTGGGTTTGTGTCCGTTGAAATCGTAATCTCAACCATGTGGACAGTTGGTGTGGAACACTGGCGGTCTCTTTTCCTTTTTCCCCCTCGCTTTCGGAAACGTGCGGGGGCTTTTTCATGGACGTTCAAGGTAGCAACGAGGATGGTTGCGTCGGGTACGCTACATAATATGCATCGGATATATACGTGATGACCAACGAAGGACGTGTGAGAAAGTTCCTGCTGCTATAGAAGCTCCAGGTTGAGGCGGTGAGGAGCCATCAGCGAAACCAAGAAGCCCGGGAGGGAGCGATGGAGCCTGCCCGTCACATTTGCCCCACCACCTCTATGTGGCCATTTACCAGAGACCAAAGCATTTGTAACGGCTAGAATGATACTGCCATGTGGGATACGTAGCTTTGGAGCGGACGGACGTGATGCACAAGGATGGGGCCTGCTGCGGGCAAGTAACTCAAGATAAGACCCGACCCAACCAACAAAGTGCGTGGAACGAATAAAGAGCCGTATGATCCGCCTTACATACGACTGGAGGGGGCAGGGAGAGCTCACCGAAGTGCCCTTCATAAGATGTCGTATAGTAAGGATCGAAGTTCCGTCTTCGAAAGGCTTTGTGTGACAATGGTAGTGCTCGTCAAGAAGCTGATGTCCTGACAAGTCTTTGGTTCAGTCTATGCAGACTATGAGAATTGCCCAGCCCAGCCTGGATGTTTCGCTTTCGAGACAATAAAGCTGGAGGCTGCTTGAGATTGATTCTTCTTCCATCTGCCACGTCATCAGACATGCCTTCTGTCGGGCGGCATGGCGCGAGGAGACGCCCAAGAACCCAACTAGATGAGCACGTCCAAAACGTCGACAACGAGCGACGAGTTGAGTTATTTCCACGGGATCGACTTTAGCTACAGCTGAAAACATAGAACGAATCGACCACGACAACGTGTTAGTATAGTCCGTATCGGTCCATGGTGAGGGCATCACGAGCCAGTCATCTAGCAAGTTCGAGTGGGAAGTGTTACAACATTCAATTTGAGTACAATAAGGGACCGCAAGAGCCAATACGCTCACGCGGCATCGCCGCCGCCCTGCTGCTTCCATGCCTGCGCCATGGCCAGCAGGTTCGAGAGGCTCTGGGACTGCTGGTCATCGGCCGGGAACACGTAGTCGATGTACTCTTCGTGCGTGTCGTCTTCCAGCAGACGCCTCTTCTTGACGCGGCGCGGCATCTGCTTCTGCACCTTCTCAACGTCCTCCGCCGAGCCGTGCGCCTTTTCAAACGACAGCCACGCGTTCAGCAGCGTCACCGTCTCCTCCTTAAGATCCTGCTCACGCATGCCCTTGTGGCCGCGCTCGAAGACCTTGCGCGCCCGCGCCTTGGCCTCCTCGCTGACTGGCTGCTCCTCGTTCTCGTCGTCGGCCTCGTCCTCTTCCGAGGCGCCGAGCTCAAAGTGGGCATAGCTGATCCAGACCTTGACGTGATCTGTCTTCTCGAGAAGCCGCTCGTACAGCTCTCGCGCGCGCTCGTACTCGCCCTCCTCCTCCTCAAAGTCGATGTATGCCTTCCAGAGCAGCTCGGGCATGTCGAGGACCGGCTGGCCGACGGCGAGCTCAAAGATGGCTCGCGTGCGGTCGAGATCGTCCAGGCCACGCTCCAGCTCGGCAAACTTGACCCATGTCTGCGAGTTGGCCGGGTTGTACTGTAGGAATCGCTCGTACAGGGTCCTACATCTGACAAACTCGAAGAGTTTGAGCTCCAGCTCAATGTAGCCGCGGAACAGCTTGTCCTTGGGGCACATGCCGATGGCTTGTCCCAGCGTCTTGCGCGCCGTTGTGAGCTCGCCTTGGCGGATCTCGAACTGCGCCTTCAAGAGCCAGATCTTGGCAAAGGTGTACTTTTTGTGCGGAATCAGATCGAGGCAGACCTTGTAGATTTGCCGCGCCCTCTCAATATCCTTGGCCTCGAGCTCCTCCCAGATGGCGTAGTAGACCCACAGGTAGATGTATCGCCTCCAGAATCGTTTCTCCTGTGCTGGTGGAACCTGCGCAACCGCCCTCTCGTAGACGTCCCTGATGCGATCCACGTCTCCCGATGTCTCCTCGAGCCGCGTGTAGTCGAACCAGATGTCGTAGTTTTTGGGATTCTCCTTGACCTGGTTTTCGTAGTGTACCCGCCGTTTCGACAGCACAACGTCCTCGACGCCAGACTCGTCGCCAAACTGCTTTTCAAAAGTTGTGTAGGCCTTGTGCAGCGCCATGGACCGGGACCTCGGCAGCTTGTCGAGGGCAATCTTGTAGATGAGCCTCGACCTCTCGTACTCCTTGAGTTTGGCCTCGTAGCGGGCGTACGCGATGAAGAGCTTCTCGTCCGCAAACTCGTCCAGCTCCTGAATGGCCATGTTGAAAACCTCCCGGACCATGTCGCTCGTCCCGTACTCCTCCTCAAACTTTGCCCACTTGATCCAGTTTCGAGGCTCGGGGTGAACGGTGATGAACCTCCTGAAGACGTCGCGTGCCCGGTCAAACTCGCCGTAGCGCTTCTCCAGCTTGATGTACGCGCTCCACGCAGCCTCATCGGGGTGCCACTGCATCCAGCGATCGAACACCTGCCGCGTGCCCGGCACGTTTCCAAGCATCTCCTCCATGTACACGTACTTGTACCACATCTTGTCGACGCGGGGCAGGCGCGCGACGGCGCGATCGAGCAGGTTGCGCGCATGGTTGATGTTGCGCGTCTTCATCTCGGCCTCGATATACCTGTGCCATAGCGACACCGAATTGGGGTGCACATCGAGCGCGCGCTCAAAGATGGACCGGGCACGCGCCAGCTCCTTGTTCTGGATCTCCCAGTCGGCATAGCGCAGCCAGTTGTTGAGCTGGACGCGGTTCCGTCGCACGTAGTCCTCAAACTCGCGCCGCTTGCGCCCCTGATGCTCGTGGAGCTCCTCAAGATCGGAGAAGCGCTGCGTCGGCGCCTGGAGCGCGACCTCCTGACGGTCGACGGCCTCGCGCAGGAGCTGCTCTGCCGAGATCTGGATGGGGGCCGCGGCCTTGTTCTTGACCTTCGGGGGGCCCCTTGCCGACTCCATGGTTGGCGGACGTGCTTGGACCGTGGTGTCACTTCTTGGGAGACAAGTGCGGGCACGCAGAAATGTTGGAAAAGGGCGATGTATTCGTGACGCAGGCCTGGGTTACGATTTTGGCGGTTCGTGTATTGCAAACGCAAGGCTGCAAAAGCTCGCCGGATCCCTGCCCATCACGACACAGCCATCGAATTCATGCGGGTTTCTTATCTTATCGATTTACCAGCCACACTTACTGGCAGTGCATGAGCCACTTGCGTAACAACCTCCCTCAGCCTTGCAAGAACTTTGACAGTTGCCTGGCCTTCAACGAACTACTCTTCGACGACCATCCCATCACACCTGCACCTCACACTTTGTGTGGTTCCTGCCCATCCGGCACGCGAAACGCCATCATCGGCACACTCAAGACTAGGTCGCCATCATGTCGACACTTGCAGATGAGCTCCTGCAAGATTTCGAGGACTCGGGCTCCGAAAACGAAAACGAAGAGAGACAGGATGACGAGCTTGGCGTTGCGCCGAGCGCCAGTGGTGGCCTACTCGGCAATGGCAACGGCCTGAACGACATGGACGTCGACAACGCAGACGGCGCCGAAGACGATGACGAGGAAATGAACGGTATCCCTCGGAGCGCGTCCGACGCGGTCGAGGATGCCGAGGACGCCAAAGCCAAAGTCGAGAAGATGCAACTCGGCGCCGTAGACGACGTCCGCAGCGTCGCCAGTCTGATGCAGACCCTTGAGCCAGTGTTAGAGGTAAGCCACCCCGCCCGTCCCTCCACCGAAGAATACACTGTCATGTTACAGTATTTACATTCTGGAAGACATAGCCCTGACGACTTTTGGTCCCCTTGACGCAGAAAATCGCCCAGTACCAGTCGCAACCAGCGGCGTCGCGCGTGATCGGCAACATCGAAGACCATCCCGAATATCACCTTTTGACGCAGTCGAACAGTCTTTCTACGCTCATCGACGGCGAGATCATCCTCGTGCACAAATACATTCGCGATCACTACTCCATCCGGTTCCCGGAACTCGAAACGCTCATCACAAACCCGGTGGAATATGCCAAGGTCGTGTCGATCCTCGGCAACGGCCCTCTGGACTCGGAGAACATCAAGGCGTTGCAGACGTCGACAGACAACCCTCTCAAAAGCACGCTCAAGTCTGTGCTTGACGGACCCTCGCTGATGATTGTCACCGTCGAGGCTACCCGAGCAAGGGTCGCGACATGTCGGTGGACGAACTCGCGAGGGGTTTTCCGGAGCGGCCGCGATGGTTCTATCGTTGGAGAGGGCAAAAGAAGACCCTCACGGACTACGTACAATCTAGGATGAATCTTTTCGCGCCCAACCTGACGGTCCTCATCGGCTCGCTGACGGCGGCGCAACTGCTGAACGCTGCCGGTGGACTCACGGGCCTTTCGAAGACGCCGGCCTGCAACATTGCGGCGTGGGGGTCCAAAAAGGGGGCCGGCGCCGCCGGCATGGCCACCAATATCGGAATCCGGCAGCAGGGGTTCCTGTACCACTCCTCCATCGTGCAGGGGATCCCCAACGACCTGAAAAAGCAGGCGATGCGCATCGTCTCCGCCAAGCTCGTCCTCGCCGCACGGGTCGACCGCATCCACTCGAGCCCGGACGGCGCGACCGGCGAGGAGCTCAAGTCGGCGTGCCTCGAGCGGCTCGAGAAGTTGACGGAGCCTCCGCCTAACAAGGGCGCCCGCGCGCTTCCGGCGCCCGACGAAAAGCTCTCGCGCAAGCGCGGTGGCAGACGCGCGCGCAAGGCCAAGGAGGCGACGGCCATGACGGAGCTCCGCAAGGCGCAGAACCGAATGGCGTTTGGCAAAGAGGAGAGAGAGGTCGGCTACGGCACGGGCGAGGGCACGGTGGGCATGGGCATGATCGGGCAGGGCAGCGAGGGCAAGATCAGGAACCTGCAGGTCGACCAGCGCACGCGGGCCAAGCTCAGCGCCAAAAACAAGGGCTGGGGCGCTGCCTCGTCGCTGGGCGGCGCGGCCTCGTCCTTCCGTGGGTTCGGCCAGGCGGGCGCCTCGAGCATGGACCTCCGTGGCAAGGGTCTCCGCACGTCAGGCGTGGGCTCGTCACTGGGTGGCACCGGCACGGGTGTGGCATCGTCGCTGGCGTTCACGCCGGTGCAGGGCCTTGAACTCGTCGATCCCAAGATGCAGGCTGAGCTCAGCAGGAAGCGCAAGGCGGAAGAGGACCGATGGTTCAAGGGGGGCACCTTCACCCAGGTCGGCGGCGCGGATACCAGCGCTGGTGGCGGCTTCAAGAAGCCGGGACAGCCTCCCAGCAAAAAGGCGAAGACAGGCGCTGGCATGATGGCTCCCCCTCCACGCAAAACTTAGCAAAACTTACTGAGCTACACCTGCCACATGGGAGGTTCGGATGCGGAGATGCTAGCTATAGTGAGCAAGCGGACGAGAGGTACACCTATGGAAGACTTGCTTATTGGCCGCCACCAGAGGACAACATCTATGGCGAGGGCTTGGCTGGGCCTTTGGGAGCTTGCTTAGTAGGATGGAATGCGGAGGGCGGGGGGGAGGGAGACAAGCGCGGCGTTCATTACGGAGGGTATTGGTCTTATCTTTGTTCCATATGCTTTGCTTTTTTACCCCAGGGAACGACAGGACAGGCAAGTCCCACGTCGTTGTGTCACAGTCTCGCGTCCCAGGCTTCCTTTGAGAAGTTCTGGTGTAGAGGCAGAGAAGGTCGAGAGACTTGGACCCCAGAATTGTACGTGGTCTAGCGTGCGACAATGCATCTGTACAAAGAACCACCTCGCATCCATGAAGCCCACCCAAAAGCCTCCGCGTCTGGTAATGGTGAGATCACGAATTATGACAGCGCTCATTGGTTGATGTTGACAAGCTCATACTCGCGCCTTCTGCTTTGTTGGACCCTTCACGCGCCAACGACGGGGAACAGTATCTGGAGGTTCCGAGCCTCTCGCCCATGCTATTGCCGCAGGGTCCCGCCCAGTGGACTTGGCCAGTTCAGAAAAGGAAAGGATGGTTGGGTGGGCGGAAAGGAGGGGGAGAGGCGGCGGATGCACTTTGTTGTCAGCGGCGGGGTTTTTGGGCGAAAACTCAATTCCGTTGATGGTTGCAGCTGAAGGCAAGAAGGGGGTGCCGACTGGGGCACGCACTTGTGTGGCACTAGTCGTTGGCGAAAGCCGTGCTGGGCCTGGTCATCGGTTGGAAGTGTTCGGGTCCCTAAAACTCTATTGACGACGCCATCAGGTGTAGTTATTGTGGTCACTTCTGGAAGCTGGTGCTGGTACTCGAACGTCTTTCCTGTTGACTCCGACGACTCGGACAACAAGGCCTGTGCTGGCTCACTGGGGCGGCCACAGAAACAGGCTGGGCGAACACGGCGTCGTGTGTGATGCCGCCCATGCTTGTGGCATCGCGGGGCTGCCGGGCAACCGGGCGCCGGGGGACCTTTCTTGCGTGCGCGGGGTGCAGTCGGGAAAGCCGGGGGAGCGCATCTCGTGGAGCAGCATCAAAGGCATCCTCCCTTGAGCACGGTCATGGGCCGACGAGCAGGAGGGTGGAGAAGAATTAGAATTAAGGAGGATCGACGACGGATCGTGACAGAATCAGCCTGACGTCAGTATGGGGGGAGTCTTCCATAGAGGTGATGCAAGAGCACCCACCACCCAAGGCTGTCGAACGGTCTGGACCCCCGGACCTGCCCTCGGAGCATAAGTCCGGGGCCGGGCTGGGCTGAGGGGTTGCGCGCCCCCGGTCGTGGTACATTGTACATGGTGTGCTGTTTTGGTGCCTCTTGGCTATGCCCTTGCCCTGGCTGCTGCTGACATACCATGTACGGTCCCTGCGAGACGCACAGTTTGCGCGCCGTTTTGGACGTGTCAATCAACATGCATGCCGTTTTCGAGAGACCCCCATGATGTAATTCTGACCTGAGCCGTTGCGGAGATGGAAACCCCCATCATGACGACCAAGTACGACTGAGTTTTCTCAGCGGCCTTGCTCGAGGTCATGGAGCGAAGAATGAGAGCAACATGGACGGAGAGGGGGGGGAAAAAACTGCTCGTGTCGTGTCGGCGTGCTGGATCGCATCGCATTGCATCGACGACAATTTCATCTCCCCACCAACCGTCCTCGACATGGTAATTCAAACTCGGCAGGGCAACGACCGCTGACGTGATCGCGATGCCGATGACGGGGTCGCAAGATAATGGCCGCGCCGGAGTAGTCTCTCCGGTTCTGTCTGAAAGAGAAGAAAAAAAACAAGGTTGCAAAAATGGGGGGATGAATGGTTGGATGGTCGGACTGAGAACGAGGGCCCGAAAACAGAGCAGCATCACGATCACCCCCAGATCGGTGATGTGATCGAGGAGGGGCGGAAAGTGGCTAAACCACCAGGCCAGGAGTTGGCTCGAGGGAAGGGAGGGGGGTATGTGGGTGCTCGCTCATCCCGTTCCGTTGGTATCCTTCGATCCCAGATCCAGGTCCAGGTTTTCCAGGGTCCAAACAGGAAGCGGGAGGAAGAAAGGGGACCACAGCCTGCAGGCAAAGACTGAAGGAGGGAAAGGGGTCAGAGGGAGGATCACGATGGGCATGTTGGGCCATGGACATGGACTTTGCGAT